GGGTCCCTATGTCCTCCAGCAGTCTAAGCCTATAGCAGCTGAACTATAGAGATAGCTCAGGATAACCTGAGCCACTCTAACTATAACTAATTTTAGAAATTCTAGGAACCACTAGTAAACCCGCAGATCCCTCACACTAAGCATGCTTGTAGCGACAGTGGAGAGGAAAAACTCCCTTGGAACAGGAAGAAACCTCCAGCAGAACCAGGCTCAGTGTGAGCGGCCATCTGCTGAGGCCCAGTTGAAAAAAGGATCTCACCAGTATAACTTCAGAACAAATGTTTTGAAGTTATATATGCTGATTGCAGAGCTGATATTTAAAGCCGCTGCACCGCTAATGGGGTTAGCATCCACAACAGCAGTCTGTGTGTTTTCCTCAAAGAGCAACTTTATATTCTGCCTCAGCTGTGAAATTGCCAAACGGCCGCTGACATCGCCCATGACGGACCGATTTAAAGTCTCTAAAAATCTCAAACTACCATGATGTTTCTAACCAGCTGATCTTAGTCATCTTCTCTCCTTTACTTTGCCCAGAAGGAAAACTGTCATGTTTGCATTGCTGCTATGTTAGCGTTTATGTAATCCTTGATTAGAAAAGGGCCGAGTCTTTAGTATCTAATCAGCCACACCTGCTTTCGCTGCGTATCTCTGTTTAGCATGCACCTCCTTTTTAAATAGTCTCAGTTTATATATATTTAAGTGAACAAATCTCTTGTTTTTTTGTTTTTCCTGCAGCGTCTGTGTTTCTGCTAAGATGTCTCAGAAGATTAAAGCCGGATCCGTGGTGGAGATGCAGGGAGATGAGATGACTCGGGTCATCTGGGAGCTGATTAAGGACAAGCTGATTTTCCCATACCTGGAGCTGGACCTGCACAGGTGAGAGCATCAGGGCATCGTCACTGGGAGGTTTGCTGTTGGGTGTCTGCAGCTCATTTGGTTTCATCGTGTTTGATGCTCATTTATCGTGTTGCTTGTGAACGGAGACCGGAGGTCCGTACCTTGAAACGAGCTCCCAGTCTATCCAGTTACAACCAGTCCACATTAACGGCAATCACCATCAGCGGTACCACCAAGCTGGTAATCAGCTCGTTAACGTAATCCAGATTACACTGATCATTAATCTGTGAATTCACATATATAAAGGGGCGGGTTCAAGGTAGCTGACCAATCAGAACCAGGAGCGCAGAAGAGAGAGCATATTTCTCCTGAGAGCAAAATGAAGAGGGAGGGAAAAAAGAGTCAAACATTGTAGCGCCATCAGAGAGACGCCAAATATGGTGGCAAAGGGTTTCTAAGTAAATGAGAAGGTTGCACATCAGAGTGCTTGAACAGATTAATGGCGTCTCATCGCCCAGATATAAAACATGAAGAGGAGCAGATAAAAATAAAACAGAAACATCGTTTATCAGGTTAAGCCGGGTATACATTGTGCAATATTTTCAATCGTTGCATGCAGCTACAACGAAACCGCAAGGTTTAACCCTTTAAAGATCCAAGAATAAAACAAAACAGAAAATTATTTTTTTTTTTGTTTGAAGTCCTTATTTGGCCTTTTAACAAAATATGTAAAAAGAAAAAACAGAAATTCATTTTTGATATTAATAATTTATTACTATGTGATAAGTGAAGATTTTTTTTTTTTTTGTAGTCTGCTGCTGGCTGTTATCAGGTATATCTGATTGTGTACAATAGGATT